TTTAAGTAGGAGTCTGGTGTTTTCCACTGTCGGCAGGCAGATTCTTTATTAATCCCAGTTGTTGAGTTACATCAGAATCAGAGAAGGAATTAAAAATAACAGAACAAGACGATCCTTTTTCACAAATACTTCCATTACTTTGAATAATAGAATACTTCTATACCTTTAATATTTGACAGAGACTCCATGCGGGACCAGACATGGACATTATTCTTGTGGAGCTTTTCTTGGGTTAGCCTGAAGTTCTCACAGTAAAAGCCTGATCAGCCAAATGTTAATGATCATTGCCTGTTTGGTTTTATTGGCCTTTTCTTTTTAATTGTCTTGTTTTTTAACTCTGACCATCAAAGTTTACATAAAACACGTCTCATCTTCTCAGGCTGATAGCCACAGTGACAACAGTTAATCACAGAGAGGGTGAGAATGCAGAGCTGTGGACGCTCGCTAACGAAACACAGAAAACACTAAAACAAACATCTGATGGTCAAGAAGATAGATACGTAGAAATAGATGTGCAGGCTGGTCATCATAAACATCGTTCTTGAGAGCACAAAGAGAAGAGAGAAAACCTATTTACCTAGGTATTTATTAATGAGTTACATGATGATGAATAAACCAGCCACACCAGTTAGACATGGCGCTGATAAACATGCATTCCTGTATGATGAAACAAGCGGGTAAAGTGGGAGAACGACTGCTTCAAAGAAAACTCTGGAAACCAATCAGATGTTCTGTTTCTCCTCCTCCTGGCCAGGCTACTTGATGCCGGCCACCATGTGGATCCACCAGTTGGCCTGCACCGTCCAGCCCAGATTTTCACACTCTGTAATCTTTTCCAGAAAATGCGCCTTGGCCTGGCCTTCACTCTGGTCCTCCTGCAGCGCCTCCCGCAGGTAGCGCATGTCTTCGGCGGCACTCAGCTCCGGGATGCCCGTGAGCAGCATCAGGGAAAAAAGAGTGATGAGCAGACGGGAGTGGGAGCGCAGTAAGAGGTACGCCTCGGAGCAGGTTTCCTAACAGGGACACAGTGAAAAGATGGACAGGATGCAGTAAATAAACGGCTATCAGTATCAGCCATTATATGCATTTCTATATGCATCTCACTGAAAAACTTCCTCTGACATTGACGTCTCGTCATTAAGAGGAATGGTTTTAAAGCTAATCGTCCTGCAGGCCAGTGTGTTTGAGTTTTCCACCTGCCTTTAAGTATCCAAAGGTGTCCCTCAAGGTTCTATCCTAGGTCCCCTTCTTTTTATCATCTATGTTAACAGTTTAGTTAAAAATGTCCCGCATGCTAAAGTTATTATGCTGTTGACACTTTCTTTTATTCTTCAGCAAATGCAGTTAAATGTGCTTTTGTTAACCTACAAGCAGCTTTTAAAGTGGTTCAGTGCAATTGGGGCGATCTGAAGCTATGTTATGAAATCTAAAGTAATGTTTTTCTCCAACTATGAAAGTTTAGCTAGAAAACAGTCGATGTATCGCATTATTACAGTAGCAGCCATTCAAAATGGCCCCTCCCAGTCTAAAGCCACTCGAATGGCAGCAACGTCCCCTCCAACTTCCAGCCACTGGGCTTCTCATGGCGGCCATATTTTTTACTCTGACTCCACCCTTTGACCTAATTACAGGATCTGACCAGGAGATGACACGTCTTTTTTTATTTTAATGTCCACAAATCATGACAGAAAGAATATTTTCGTACCAACATTGATGTTTAAAAAGGAATCTTAGGGGACAAGCCAAGGACCCATCAATGGAAGTGGGCAAGTTTTCAATGACTGCTGATGTACTTTTCAAGGTCATCAGATTGAGGTTGGATTACAGGATCCATTTCTAGGCTTGATCATTAATGATTCTCTGGGTTTTGGTCCTCATACTGTACTCAACTGAAGCTGGGTTTTTATTTTAGAATTAGACCTTGCTTATCTTTTGAGACTGGGAAATGTTTTGTTGCTGCAGCTTTTTGCCAATTTTGGAATATGGTGACATAATTTCCATGCATGAATGTTCTCACTGGTTGCCTAGTCTAGATTCTCCGTGTCATGGAGTATTTTTACGTTTCATCCCTGGTCTGGGAGCCTTAACTTTCCATTGTGTTCTCTATGCCTGCGTTGGTTGGACCGCCCTGCCCCCCCCCCTAGCTTTTACCTCTGCTATTTTTACATTTATAAAGCCATCAAGGCTTTACTGTACGGAAGAGGATTAGGGCCACTATAAAAAAAAGTGAACTGAAGTATTATTTCAGTAAAAAATGGGAAAAAGTCAGTATTCTGACCTTTTTCTCAAAATTCTGACTTTATTCTAATAATTCTTTTTTCTCAGAATTCTGACTTTATGCTGATGAAGGTTCTCAGTCATCCAGGTCATAGTCATTCCGTAAAAATTCAAAAAATATCCACTGGACTTGGTTTTCAAGATTTGAAGACGTTTCGCCACCTCTCCAGGAAGCTTTCTCAATTCGGAATTCTGACTTTAATTCTTAGAATTCTGATTTTAATTGATAGAATTGTGGATGTTAATGTAGATGTGCGCCATGAAGGCAGAGATGTGGAGCTCTCAGCTTCAGTAGTTTGGGAGAAACAGGAACACATTGGTGGTAAATGATGGAATTAGGCGAGTTTTTCCGTCCCTGAGGATCTCTGCTGATGCTGTTTGATTAATGGAAGCGAAGAAGGAGATTAAAACAATAGAGCTGGACTCTAAAACAGACATGACTAAGGCTGGATGCTAACATGTTGGTTAGCTGACAGAATTCAGTCAGAATTGTGAGATTAAAGTCAGAATTGTGACTTTTTTCCCATATTAAACTAAAATAATATTTAAAAATCTGTTAAATTTTTTTTAGTAGTCATAATCCTCTTGTGTAGCAGAATGACTGAAGGTTGAAGAAAATAGTTTCTTACTCTAAATCAGTTTCTACATTTTTTTGCAAATATTTTGATAAATATAAGCGGTATTTTATTTCTATTTTAAAAATCATGGCTGTGTTTGTTTTATTGTTCTTTAGCTTCCTGTCTATGTTGTATATTAATTGGTTTTAATATCTTTAATATTAGTATGTTATTTGGCCAGGTCTCTCTTGTAAAAGAGATCTATAATCTCACTGAGACCCACCCTGATAAATAAATAAAAACATATCTCTGCTTATGAAAGGGGAATTTATGGGCAGCAACAGACTAGAGTTTGATCTGCAAACCGCTGGGAGAACAAATGACGTCTCATTTAGTTCATAGAAAAACTGTGACTTAAAAGTGTATCAGAGCTTCTCCTCCTGCCTTCAGCCTGCATGTTGTTTCCATGGTGAAACGCAGTCAGTTGGACTATGGATGAGAGGGTTCTAATTATTGAACTGCCATCTAAATGTCCAATCAGAGCTTCTCTTTTAGTCCCATTAGCACAGCTGGATGACAGCACTCTCTGGTCCTCAGCAGGTCCTCCCTAGTCCGTTTTTTTTTTTATTAACTTATTAAGTCAAGTCAGCTAAATGCATGATTCCCAGTTGATCAGAGATGTGTGCTGCTGGTGCATCCTGTGAGCATCCAGCTATCTGCGATCAAACAGGAACCCTGCTGCCTGCGCTGCCGTCTTATCAGCTTTCTGACTAACTGTGGCTGAGCTGTTTCCTCCTGAAGTTTAGAGATGATGAGTTTGAGCTTAGAGCATCACCTGGTACAGAAGCTCAGTGCTGCCTTCTTTTCCTCCTCTTCATCAGGCTCACTTGGTTTTATTGATAACTCAGTCTATCGTACGTTGGAGCAGCAGAAGAAGTGTTTGGATCAGGAAGGAACAGCGCTCCCTCGACCGAGTGCTGATTGTAGGAAGCTGAAGAGCTTTGACTGATGCATTAACACCGCAGCCACAAAGCTGTTACTGAACTAAAGACTTTAGGGGCTCAAAGGAGCGCCTTCACAGCCCCCCCTGCCAGCAGCTGTTAGACATTAGTGCATCACTGCTTCCATTAGGTGTAAACAGCATTTCCTGATTTTCATGCAGATATTTACAGGTTTTTATTTTTAAAGGAATAGTACACCCAAAACATGATTAGCCTTCATTTTCTACTCACCCCCATGCTGAACAACACTCTGGAGTACTTTTTTGATATCTCA